TCGAAGCGTTTCTTATGATAGTGATTTTAATCACTGTCAGATTAAATCTATACTGATCCAACTATGCAACGTCCCCACTATTTTTTTTTATTGGTTTTTTTAGTTAAAGTAAATCATTAAAATTTNTTTTATTGGTTTTTTTAGTTAAAGTAAATCATTAAAATTTACACCAAAAGTTACTAGGAAATGATTACTATTATTTCTATTTAAGTTATCTATTACGATAAAAAAGCTAAAAAATATTGAGCTTTTCTGATTAATTTAATATAAACAGTTATTATAAAATTTCCCGGCTGCATATTAATCGTAACAATACAATTTTTTTATTTCTCATAAAATTTCCATTTTAATGATGTCAATTTCTAACTTCCAAATTGAGCTAAAAGTTATGTTAATAAATTAACTTTTTTAAATTATAAACTTTCACAAAAATCAACTTTAAAGTATTAAAAAAAATAGGTTAAATATGTAATTTTCCTTTTTTTTAACATATTAATAATCAAAATCAGTATTAATTTAAAACAATTCTTTTTTGTTCTTAATTATATTNAGTATTAATTTAATACAATTTTTTTTGTTCTTAATTATTTTTTTTTATATGTAAATACTTATTTTTTAATAATAAGTAATAATATTAAAACTTAGAAGTAATAGAAAAAGTTTAATTGCACATTTGAAAACACTGCGAAAAATTGATTTAGATAAGTATATTTTTATTTCTGATAAATTTAAACATTATCTACAGATTTGTATCGAATTGTTTCTTATGATAGTGATTTAAATTACTGTCAGATATCATCTATATTTATCCCAACTATGACACTTCATCCCCTCAGGGGGGTGCTAAGTAATTAGCACTACGGGTTTGGCGAACCCGGGGCCCCGAGCTCTGAGCTGGCCTTAATTGGTTGGCTCTGTCTGGTCCTCCAGGTTGGGGGTTTGGCGACGGGCTAACAACCCGTCACTGTAAAAAACTCTACTGTTAAGAAACCAAAACTAAAGCCTCGGGACAGAGATTTGGATAAAACACAATGGAAACGGCNAAAAAACTCTACTGTTAAGAAACCAAAACTAAAGCCTCGGGACAGAGATTTGGATAAAACACAATGGAAACGGCCCGGACTACAAGGATTTAGGATTGGCACATGGAACGTAAGAACTTTATATAAAGCAGGAGCTCTTGGTACACTAGTCGATGCAATAAATAGATATAAGGCAAATTTAGTAGCGCTACAAGAAACGAGATGGCAAGGAGAAGGATGTATACCAACAGGTAACATGACATTATACTATGGTGGTCTAACGGCTAATAAGCGTGAAAATGGGGTGGGTTTTCTCGTGCACAATAGTCTAATACCATGGATTAAGCAATTTAAGGCTATAAATGACCGAATATGTTACATTCGGATCAATATGAACCACCGGGACATGGTAATAATTTGCGCATACGCACCAACCGAATCAGGAAATGAAGAAGCAAAAGATGCATTTTATGAAGAGTTGGAACAAGTGTATGACGCCTTACCAGGCCATTGCATTAAATTATTATTGGGAGATCTGAACACCCAAGTGGGAAAAGAAAATGCTTACAAAGCGACGATTGGAAAACATAGTCTACACGACCAAAGCAATGATAACGGAATAA